CAGGAGCGCAAAAGGCAGAGGGTATGATTGCCTGGCCTGATCAGGCCACTAACACTATCTCAAAGAGAAATTCATTGATCTGTTCATAATTATTACCTCTTTCTTTTAACCTCAGGATCAGAAGAAGCTTCAAGGACAGCTGATAGCTGAACATGAGGCTATTTATGGATCAAAACCAAGTCCGATGAAGAACCAAACCAAGAAAGGTCCCCGTTTGTCCTGTGGTGGCGGGGGGGCAAGTAACAGAAGGATGTCTGTTGGAGGCCTGCAGACTCCCAAACCCGAGATAGTCCATCCCACAAAAGCAACTCCCAATACTACCCGTCAAGCTAAGAAGACTGAGCGTGTTCTTCAGTATGATCCCCCGGCTGATGATGGGTTCTCAGCTTTATCAGCAGGTATGGTATTCTTCTCTTCAGTGCTGTCAAATAATCTCAAATTATGTTTTCTTGGCCATCACAACAGTATTCTCATTGGGTTCTGCTGAATTTAGGGAGGAGAGGTTTGGACATAGCTGGTCTTCCTATGATGAGGAGGCCATTTTCGCCCATTTCTTCAACAGATTCATCAAGGTCGAACGCCACCAATGTCTTGGATGAGCTGAACAGAAAGCAACAACAAAGCGAGATGGTTCAGCTTCAGAAAACACTGTCTACACCGGTGAAGACAATCCCAATCCCGAACCCCAATGTCGAAGAAGAGAATAGAACTCCAATGGCAATGCCAATTCCCATCCCTTCAACGCCATCAACCATGTCCATTCCCATGCAGACAGCCATAACGCCAGCCCCTCTCAGCGTTGTTCCATACAATGCTGCTGCCAAGGCCGTGGAAGAGATGATGAACGAAGAGATCGAGTATTCTTTCGAAGAGAGGAGGGCTGGATTTGTTGTTCCAAGAACACACATAAAGACTTTGATGCAAGTCTGATGATGATGATACAAACATTAGATGTATACTATCTGTCATTTCTGGTTTCTGAATTTGGTCTAGTTGGTAGTGAATATGGTTGGTTTCTTGTGAAGCCAATTCTATTGGCTTCTTCTATTTGTACATTGTCTGATTGTCTACGACCTTAAGCGTAGACTACTGGATAAGTAACATTTGTTCCATCTGTGCATTAAGCTGGTTTTGGTTCTAATTTATTTTTCTATATTTATATTTATATTCATTGATTATAATCAATGAATAATGGACACCTTGTGCTCAATTGGGACCCATCATTGAAGAAAAGTCCAAACACCTTGTGCTCAATTGACACATTTGTCTGGGGTATTGATTTTGGGAATTACAATACTTAAAGAAAATATATTTTATTTCGAGTACTATTGTTAATTTTAAAATTTCATTTCCTTAATTATATTTCATATTTTATTATTTTAATTAAGAGAATTTCATATACAAATTAAAACTGCATTAGTCCATACAAATTTAAAAATTAAATTCTTTTATTGTATGGTTCAATTTGTATTGCATAAATGGCTAGAAAGACTGAAAGAGACATTGATACTACTTTTATTGAACCTATTCCTATATATATGTGTGTGTGTGTGAGAGAGAGAGAGAAAGATGAGTAGATGTTTTATTTATATGACATATATAAGACGAGTGGGGAAGAATGTCTAGGGAAGATTATCTGCAGGTGAAGTTTGGGTCTGAAAGCTGATGTCTTCCTGCGCTGACAGAGGAGAAGCAAAACTGCCTAAGAAGAACAGTGTGCAGGTTCCCACATCGACAGAAAACAAAAGGTGGAGCCAAGCAGAGGCTTATAAAATTGGGTCGCTTGTGAATGGATTCCATACTTACCTGGACGGGGTTAATGGGCGATCAACAAGGCCCATGGCCTAGGTTAATGACTTTCATTGCACTTTGAAAGGGTGTTAATCTAAGGTCTACCTTAAAGGTAGAGTCTACGTCATAATTTGTGATAGTGGGGCCTGCGTTCGCGCGGTCCCTATCCAATTTTAAGTTAAAAGTTTGGGCTTTTATTAGTGAGACTCATCTATGTTATTACCGGCAATTTATATCTTACATCATGGTGCGCGATGCACTATGCGTTCAGATATAAAATGACGTTGTTTTAATTTTTTTTTTTTTGAAATTTTTCGCCCCAGTGAATGGCAATAGTTTTTTCTTAAAAAAAAAAACCCGCTGTTCAAGAATGTACATAATGTTATATTAGAATACACATAATGTTATACATGAATGTACATAATTATATAACAAAATATACATACTCTTTTTAAAAGATAATACACATAATCTAACATAATACATAATAAACATAAATTTTTAACATAATACACATCAACTCTTAACAGAATACACACAAATTTTCTGATTCGGATGTATATAATTGTATAAAAAGAATGTACATAATTGTATAAAAAATACACATAACTGTATGAACCAATACACATAATGTTGTGAACAAATACACATAATCTCAGCAACTTTCTACCGCGCCTCCCAACACTACTCCAAAACGACGTCGTTTTGGGAGGCGCGCGGCGCACAGAGCACTGTGGTGTAGGATATAACGATTGGTTATTACCCCTTTTCAATGATTGGGTTTCCTTTATCAGGCCTTTTTGTTGGGGCTCATGTATTTGCAATGGTTATACTGTGCAACTTTGTGTGGTGTACACGCTTATAAAAAATGACGTTGTTGCACATTTTGATTTTTTTTAACAGCATCATTATGTTGTTCATGGTTCTTATTCATTTTGAATATTTAGTTCATTCATTCTGAATTTTTAGCTCATTTATTCTAGATTTTTAGTTCATTTAATTCATTTTGGATATATAATTTTATTTATTTATTTTTTTTTTAAAATGAGACGTGCATTTTTAGTCAAAACGACGTCGTTTTTGTAACTGTGTGCACACAATTGCACAACATAATTTGTCATGTACTTGATTTATACTCCGTACTTAATAGTCTTTATCCAATGTAACTATTATTATAAATATATTTATTTTTATGTTTGGTATATACCTAATTTATTTATGACATTATTCCTATCTCACATGTTTTTTTAATACTTAAGCTCGGGCAACTCAATTCCTCTTATATATCGAGTCGGAGTGTGGGGGTCTTTGGGATTGAGCTTGGACATCTCAATTCCTCTCATATACTCTATCAAATCGAAATGTGAGGACTCAGTTCTTTTCATATACTATATTGAGTCGGGATGTGAGAGACCTTAAGGGAGGATTCAACATTTTGATAAGAATGTTAGCTTAGATTCGTATCATGCATGCTATTATTGGTAGTCATGCTAAAACAACAAAACAGATATTTGAAGGAAAAATATTAGAGATCTTTCAAGTGAAATTGGTGTAACCTCTGAAATTTCACTTCATGCATGGCATGATGGCAAGCAAAATTCAGCAAGCTTCAATCTTCTAGGATTTAGGGACAACTATACTAGTGTATATATATATATATATATATATATATATATATATATATATATATATATTTTTTTTTTTTTTTCCTTTCACTCCTTGTTCTTCATCTTCTTCGTTTGATTTTGAATGTAATATTCATCTCCTTCATCTTTCCTTATTGTGATTTTAAATGAAAAAAAAATGAGTGAAAAGTAGTTTCGAATTGTGATTTTAAATGAAAAAAAAAAAAGTGGTGAAAAATGCAAGGAAATTTAGTTTGAGAAATTGATAGCACTTCTCAGCATCATCATCCCATAAAACTATAACTTCACACTTAATCTTACACTGGGAAATTTTCTCAAAATATTCTTCTCATCTTACCCAGGACAATCTTATTATTATATCATAATCACTGGACTCAAGATCAATCTTTACCCTATAGTTGTCACAAATCCAAGAACTCATATCACCATCTTGTATCCACTGCAAAAACTAAGGGTGTGTTTGGTTCATGGGTTTACACACCAGAAATCAAAATCATAGTTAGTGTTTGGTTTATAACTTTTTAAAACACAACTATAGGATTTGAGTACTATTTCAATTAAAAAACTTCATCCCCTAATTAAAAACAAGTATCATTCCATCTTATTGGTAAAAAACGAGTAGCATAAATGGTCCCTTGATTATTTTATTATATGATCCAAAATTATATTTAAAAAAAAAAAAAAAAAAAAAAAAAAAAAAAAAAAAAAAAAAACTAAGCTGTAAAGTATAACATGCACTTGAAGGAGGGATGTTATCTCAGTATACCAATTTCAAAAGATTTCTATTTTGAAATCCAATTCAAATATTGTTGATTCTCAAAGAAAGCACCCCAAGAACGGGCTCTATCATTATTGTTCTCTCCAAAGCACCCCAACAACTGGCTCCGTCATCAATGTTCTCTCCAAAGCACCCCATTTTGATCGAAGAAGAAGAAAAAGAATAAGAAGAGTGATGGAATAATCATGGAACGGGTTTGGAGCAAAGCGATACGGAGTGGGTCGGACACGACATTGAACGAGTTACGCCTGACACGCGACGAACCACTCCGAGGTCGGCCCAGCTGGGGCCGGCTCACCGTGGAGCCGGCCTCACCGGGCTCGGCCTCGGCCTCGGCCACGTGGGCTCGGCCTCGGCCACGTGGGCTCGGCCGAGTCCATGACCGGCCACGTGGCCGAGTTCCATGCTTGATCAAGGGGTCGGGTCCTCGCGTGGAGCGAGTCTCGCGGCGGTCGTTGCGGGCTCCTCCCGCGTACCCCGGGTTGTTAGCTCGACCAGGAGTATAAAAGCACTCCTCGGTGTCCAGCCTATTCAGACATCTTCTACCTTTTTACTATAGTTCTCTTGTTATTATACGTCCTGAACCTCTGTAATAGCATTATACATCCTATTAATACAATATTCGTCCGTGTGACGCTTATTCGTACGTTATTTCTACCCCTATTATCACTTTATTATTAGTTTATTATATTCAATCGTATACTTAGATTGTATAATCCGGACCCCAGATTCATATAATCCATCAAAGAGGAAGAAGATTGAGCTCATCAAAATTGAACAATAAGATGTCTGTCTTTTTACCTATAGATTTGTGGGTTGAAGTCCTCGCCAAACTTCCCGCAAAGTCAATCTTCCGCTGGGCCACCGTTTCAAGATCATGGTACTATCTCATCAAAACTCCTTACTTTATCTACACGAACCTCGATTTCAATTCCCAGAACGATACCCGCATTTCTTGCATCCTCATGCGTAGTTGCGTTAAACCAAGAGGAGAAATCTACGAGTTCTACGATGACAATGATTGTAATTTAACTAAATTTGTTGAGTTTAGAGCACCGTTCAAGGCTGAGAACCTATTTTTCAGAATTATTGGATGTTGTAATGGACTGATATTCCTTTTTGATGACTTTTTCAAGAACCATCACGATATGATTATTTGGAACCCATTTATATGGAGGTGGGTTTGCCTTCTCGAGCCCCCGAATTTTGTGCATTCCAAGAGCTTCTTTGGGTTTAGGTTTGATTATATGTTACGAATGACTACAAGGTGGTAAATATTGTGGATGTTGGGCTTGAAATTGCCCTCCCAAAGTTGAGATCTTTAGGCTAAGCAAACAGGTATGGGAAGACATTGTGATCATGCACTTGCCTTTTCAATTCCTGTAAGATCTAGTCAAGCCTGTATAAACAGGGCGGTCCATTAGGTTGGACAAGGTATGCTGGATGGGGAGGTTAGGAACTTGATTGTGCGGTTTGACATGAGTAAGGATCGATTTGGGATGATTGAAATTACCGGAAAGTGTAACAACACTGCCATCTATCTATGTAGTAGCATATGTCTACATGGGATCACTTGCTTTGGTTGCGCTGGAAGATAATTCGAGGTATAGTAGGACAATGAAAGAGTATGATCGCGTAGAGTCATGGACCAAGCAAGTTTCTTTCATCTTTTCTGAGAGGGCGAATATGCATTTTGGATTTAGGGGAAACAGAGATGTTCAAGTGATGAGGAGACTTGGACGAAGATATGGACAATGGAATGCTTATGACCCTAAAGGTCAACCACATTATTATTACCGTTGAGTATATTAGTTTGATGAAGAGCATGATGTTATATATTCTTTCCACGCAAGCCCTTATGTTGAGAGCCTAGCTTTTCTTGATGCGGATGTTGATTTTAATGATGTTGCTTCTGTACAAAATTTATCTTTTCGACGTAGTAGGAGAAACAGTGCTGATAATGACGATGACTCGTTTATTTTATTATTTAGTTTCCTGAACCTGTGATGGAAATAAAGTTGGATGTTGATTTAATTTTTTATTTAGCCTTGCGTTTGGATATAGGAAGATGTTTGAACATGTGGCGGTAACACTCTTATTTTTATTTTTGGTGGTTTACGCTTTTGCAATTTTAATGGATTTGATTGATCCTTAATAATTTATTTTGGGTTTAAAAATTGGATGTTACAAAGTGGTATCAGAGCTTAGGTTCTGAAATCTTGGGCATATGAAATAAAATTGGTTATGTTCTGGGTATCAGAGCTTAGGTTATTAAATTTTGGACATAGGAAATAGAATTTATTAGGCTCTGATACACATTCGTATAAGAGCTTGTTATAAAATCTTGGGTATAGAAAATATAATTGATTACGCTCTAATACAAAGTTGTATCAAAGCTTAGGTTGCGAAATCTTGAATATAGAAAATATAATTGATTAGGCTCTGATACAAAGTTGTATCAGAGCGGTATGAAGCTTTGAGATAGAAATTAGGGAAGAATTGCAGAGAATAGGGGAATTTTAGAGAAAAGAGAAATAGAAAATCTGAGAAATTCTATTTCATTCCAAAGCATAATCTATACAAATCGTTACCCTCTATTTAAACATCCCAGGGAATCAATTACAAGCCCAAAACAGAAAAATAACAAGCAAAATAGAAAAACCTCCATGTAAGGATTAGGGGTGAGCATCGATATGTTACAGTCAATAACCGACCGATAACCGAATAACCAAGCTTGCTTTTTAACTCTCCATAATCGGCCAAAACCGACCGAACATATACCTATAGCCGATCGAAACCGATTATGTTGATTTTTGTCGGTTATTGCGGTAACCGAATAACCGTGAGATAGTCTGACTTTCACTATATATATATATATATATATATATATATATATATATATATATATATATATATATATATACACACACACTAGTATTTTTGTGCATCGCGCATATGAAATACTGGTATATATATATAGAATTAGGTTCTAGTGCGGTTAGGTTGCTCAAGTGCAGTTGTGCGGTTTAATCTGGGCCATTCATCTCGCTTAAATCAACGTCCAAGATTATCAAAATTTAAAAAAAAAAAGAGCGGTGACAATTTTGTAATTTTTGTATTTAGGTCAACATTAATGTGAGCGGTTCTGTGATTAATGTACGTGAGTTTTGTATATAATATGCGTGAGTCTTGTGCATAAGGTGCGTGAGTTTGCGCTTAATGTGCGTGGGGTTGTGCTTAATGTGAGTAGTTAGTAAAACTTAAAGTGTGGGCTTTTGTGTTTAAGGTGCGTGAGATTTGTTCTTAATGTGAGTGGAGTTTGTGCTTAATTTGCGTAGGGTTTGTGCTTAATGTGTGTGAGGGTAATGATTAATATCAGTAATTGTTGAAACTTAAAGTCTGTGAGTTAATACTTAAAGTGCGTGAGTTTTGGGTGCTTAGTGTGCGTGAGATTGTGCTTAATGTGTGTTGGATGAAGAAGCATGCAACACGTCTAAATGACCAAAAGCGTCTACAAAAAGCGTTTACCAAAACCAAAAGCGTCTACCAAAAGCGCGTCTTCTTGTCCAACAATGTGCGTGAGTTTTGTACTTAATGTGCGTGAGTTTGTGCTTAAGATCTAACACTTAAGGTGCGTGGCTTTCTTCCAAACACGCATTTTTTTTTTCTTTGATTTGAGCCGTTTATTTAGATTTCATCAACGGTTCAGATCTAACCGCACAACCGCACGGGAAGCTATATCCGCACATTAACCCTTCCCTATATATATATATATATATATATATATATATATATATATATATATATATATATATATATATATATATATATATATATATATATATATATATATATATATAGCCCTCTAGGCGCCTGGGGACCGCCTAGGGAGCCTAGGGAGCCTAGGTGGCCGACCGCCTAGCGCCTAGGCGCGATTTTTGCAACACTATTATATATATATATATATATATATATATATATATATATATATATATATATATATATATATATAATTGTAGAATTCATATTAATATTAATGAAGTAAGAATTATAGAAATGATATATTACTAAATATAACTATGGTAACATTTAATTAAATCTAAATAAAATTAAACTTACCAATTGAAGAATGTAAGAAAAAGATATTGTGTATGCATGTGCATGGTAATAATAATGTGAAAGATAACAGAAGTTATAACGGCAGGGATATTTTTGTGCAAATAATTATGTAGTACAACAAGTATAGCATAAGGTACCAAAAAAGTTAACAGAAAAAACGGACATAAAACCAGGGACATAACCTGGATTGAAGCTTATTATGTTTATTTATATATATATATATATATATATATATATATATATATATATATATATATATATATATATATTTGATAATAAGTTTTACTGTATATAAAAATAACAAAACATACATCATTATGCTACATAATTCAACTGAGCATATCCCCATAATTTATTCATCAAAAAAAATAATTAAAGTGTTTAAGACTTAAACACTAAACAATAGACATATATTCATAATGCCATATAGGCATATAGCCCTTAATCCATTACAGTTTAAGTTCACATGGTTCAAACTTCACAAAACAAATTAAATAAAGTTCATAGTCTTCATACTTCCAACACTGCCAATCTACATAACACATTTATCAAATTTCAAAAAGGAAAAAAAAAAAACTCAAAGTTGAGATCTTAGGCTAAGCAAACGGGTATGGGAAGACATCAGTGATAATGCACCTGTCCTTTCCATCCTGGAAGATCTAGTCAAGCCTGTCTAAACGAGGCGGTTAATTAGGTTGGACATGGTATGCTGGATGAGGAGGTTAGGAACTTTTGATTGTGCGGTTTAACATTAGTAAGGAGCGATTTGGGATGATGGAATTGCCGAAAAGTATGGCAACATTGCCATCTATATATGTAGCAGCATATGTTTACATGGGATCACTTGTTGTGGTTGCGCTGGAAGATGATTCGAGGTACAATATATGGACAATGAAAGAGTATGATCGCGTGGAGTCATGGACCAAGCAAGTTTCTTTCATCTTTCTTGAGAGGGCGGGTATGCTTTTTAGATTTAGGGAAAACAGAGATGTTCAAGTGATAAGGAGATTTGGAGGAAGATATGGACAATGGAATGCTTAAGACATTAAAACAAAGTAAAATTGCAATTAATTTTAAAAGACTCTATGGAGAAATGGTAGAAACATGTTTCTATAGTGTTTCATCTTGGATATTGGAGGTTTGAATCTTGTCTGCAATATTTTACCACATTATTGTTATTTTTATATTTATTATTATTATCATTATTGTTATAATTATAATTTATTCCATAATATGTTTTTTGTCTCTCTTTGCGCACAGAAACATTTTACCATCTTATTATTATTATTATTATTATTATTATTATTATTAGAAAAAATTACGGTATTGGATTTAAAGATTGAACTTTTAGTAAGGGCCTCATTTATTTACAAGAATAAGACCACAAAAATCTAAAAATCGGCCCGGTTGAAAATATATTATTTTGTATACCATCAAATAATGTACATATAGTACACAAATAATGTACTTTTAGTATATTAAAAATGTATATTTTATTCATGGAAAGTACTTAATTGAATACTAAAAATACATTATTTTGTAACTATAAAATAATATACATTCAATACTGAAATAATGTACTTTTAGTATATAAAAAATGTACATTATATTCATGAAAAGTACATCAATCAAGTACTGAAAATACATCAAGGCACACACATATGTTCTACAGTATTAAAAAAGTCTGTAACGTGAATTGAACAACAAACAATTACTTTCAGAATTAAAATTTAAAATTACATTGTTTAGGGCTAAGTTACACAATGCATTGTGAACACACTGGTCCAGACGATTGAGTACCATGAACGTTATCAAAAAGCAATAATACTGAGGTATCAGAATGTACTTATGTACCCAAATACACAATACGAAAGCTGCCAAATTGCCAAGTTGCCATTCTCCTACATTCTTGGATTTCTATAACCCGCCAATCTGCCACAAAATGCGCATTCTCCCTTCTCTCCTAAATTCTTGGATATTCCATAACTACATTCTTGAATGTTTTTTTTTCTCCATAAAGTATTAAGAAGTTAATTTTGATTGTACTGCATTTTTATTAGAATTGCACACTAGTTTTTGTCCCGTGCGATGCACGGCATAAAATTTAAGTAATTTTATTATTGATAATGTTTTAAAAACAATAAAATAAAATATT